AATTTATTATAGGTACCTAAATTTTTTTTAATACGATTGATAAGTATATAATATGTCTTATACCTAGACTGACATACCGTCTCCGCTCAGAATCGTTTTTCTTATACAATTATATTATATCATTTAATTCATATTTAAGACAATCCATTATACAGTGACCCACTTGTAACATATACTGTACAGCAGAGCACCTTTTTTTTTTTTTATAAAAATACTCAATAATTGTCATAATTCAACTGCAATTAACAAAAATAATTAACATAATCAGCAATTTAAAAAATTCATAATTGTTAAGTTTTATTTTGTGGTACAATAATGTAAAAGATAGCTATTTTATGATATAATATGCTTACCTCATATTCATAAATTCATAATATAACAATGCATACCTACTTAACACAGTTTATGACACGTCATATAGGTACTTAATCTATGTACCTACCTACTTTTATTTTTAGATTTCAGTATGAAACTATGATAGTTCAACAGTTATCTAAACAAATAAATTGTAAATTGTAAAAACCAATATTACAAAATCTATGTACTTACTTGGTAGTACCTAAAGAAAATAGAAACACACATTGAATACAATTTTGTTCCCGAGTCACGACTGATGTATAATGATCAAATATCACATAAATACATTCGAACTACAACTAATAAAATTACTAAAATGTACCTATACCATACCTATCGGCTACCTATAATATAATATAGTAAATAGTAATTAATAATCGAAAAATGTGTGGGGTTCGTGTCGTTATCACGATCGAACACCTACGAATAAATAATAAACGGGTACGCGTATAACGTATTAAGTGCGCGATGCGCGGTTTATTACAGAAAAACAATTACACTTAACAAAAGGCGAACAGATCGAGTCGATCGGTGCTCGGAGGTGAGCGGCTGGTCACGTGCGTTTTCGTGCGGCGGTTTTGGAAAGAGAGCGAACGAGCTACGCGAGCGGCGAAAAATGAGAGCGTGGTTTATTTAATTACTTTTTATTAAATCTTACGGACGTGCGTACGGAGCAACGGTAAAAACAAGAGAGAGACGGGTCGGTCGCCGCAACCAAGCGGAGGCTGCCGTTAGGCTCGATCGCAATGTGACCAACCGTTGAACAATATCAAAGATATACGATACTACCGACGGCAGAGGGAGGTCATGTGGCATTGGTCCGCCACATCACTCCCCCCCGACGAAGGAGAAAATACCGTAGGTGTTTTCGATGTCGGAAATCTATGTACGGACTGCATGGCATACGAGTGGTCCAGGGCTGGGTCCTCGCGGAGGACGAAGGCAGGTTTGAGCCGGTCTACTGACACCCACGACGTCCGGTTGTCCAGCTGTAGCTTGAAATCCTTTTCTCTTCGATCCAGTACGGCGTAGGGCCCCTCGTAACGCGGTTGAAGCGGAGCGCGCTGCGCGTCGACGCGGACGAAAACATGGCTGACGGAGTCGAGCTGTGTAGGAACGAAAATACGTCGGGCCGGGTCGTGATTAGATCCGGGCGACGGTCGAAGCTCGGTCATGGACAACTTAAGTGCCATGACGAAATCCAGCGATTTCATCTCTGAGGGCGCGGAGTGGAACAACTCACCAGGAAGGCGAAGGGTCGCCCCATAAACGAGTTCGGCAGGTGTTGCGCCGGTGTCCGGTTTGACTGTGTTGCGCAAGGCCAAGAGGACGATTGGCAGTCGCTGGGACCAGTGCGGTGATTCTTGCGCAGTGAGTGCTGCCTTTAGTGTTCTGTGAAAGCGTTCTACAAACCCGTTAGCCTGCGGGTGGTAGGGGGACGTGCGAACATGCTGGATCCCGAAAGTTGAGTTGAGCGCGCGCATTAGGTCAGACTCGAACTGTCGCCCTTGATCTGTGGTGATGACGTCTGGCACCAAGAAACGGGCGATCCAATTCGTTACTAGTGTAGACGCGACGGTGTGAGCGGACATGTTGTCGACGGGCCAAGCTTCGGGCCAACGCGTAAATCTGTCGACGCAGGTGAGGAGGTACTTGGCGCCGTCCGAAACGGGCAGTGGGCCGACCAGGTCCAAATGTATGTGGCCGAAACGTCGGTCCGGGGCCGTGAACACAGCCAGCGGTGTCGCGGTGTGTTTATGTACCTTTGACTTCTGGCACTGCTCGCATGTCTTGACCCAACGCCGTATTTCTCGGTTCATACCAGGCCACACGAAACGTCGCGATATAAGCGCAGTTGTGGCCGAACCACCACCGTGCGCCTGTCGGTGTAAGGTGTTGAAAACCGCGCGACGCTGTCGAAGCGGAACGAAAAGTCTTGACCTGTTATAGGCTATGTCGAAGTAGACCGGTCCGTTTGCTGTCTGCCGTGCGTCCAATTCAAGTGACGACTCCGTCCTGCCCGCAAGGATGTCCTGTAGGTCGGTGTCGTTTGCTTGGTCCGCTGCCCATTGGTCCAGGTCAGGTAGCCCGTTATCGAGGGGGGCCAACTCCAGGCGCGACAGTGCGTCGGGGACGATGTTGAGTTCGCCGCTGACGTGTTCAACCTCGTGGAAGTATTGTGATAGGAACGCGACGTGCCGCGCTTGACGGTCGATGAGTTTCTCGGCCTTTTGCGAGAACATGAACAGTAGTGGGCGGTGATCCGTACGGAGCGTGACGAATCTGCCCTCGATCGCGTGTACGAAATGTCGTGCGGCTAGGTAGGCTGCGAGCAACTCGCGGTCATACGCACTGTACCGTGTCTGCGCGCCGGAGAGTTTACGTGAAAAAAATCCGAGTGGTTGCCATCTATTGCCGACGGACTGCTCCAGGACTGCCCCGACCGCGATGTTGGAAGCGTCTGTGGTGAGGCGCAACGGTGCGTCGCGCTGCGGGTGTACCAAAAGCGCGGAGGTAACGAGTGCCTCTCGGCAGGCCGCGAATGCCTTCCGGGCGGCGTCAGTCCACCCGAGTGGGCCGTCCTTTTTTTTAATTGCCGCGGAAATATCGTACAGTGGTGCTTGAACGTTGGCGGCGCCTCGGACGAATCGGTGGTAAAAATTCAATGATCCGAGAAAACGTTGTAGTTCTTTTTTGGTGTTCGGTTGCGGCCACCGTCGTATAACGTCGACGCTGTCCGGGTTAGGGCGCAAGCCCTGCGCATCGACTACATGTCCGAGAAAGGTGAGCGTTTTCGCGGCGAAAACGCACTTCGCCGGATTGATGGCTATCCCGAACTCCTCGAAACGGCCGAGTACGGTGCGGACATGTTCGACGTGTTGGTCGGCGTTCGCGGAGGCGATGAGGACGTCGTCGACGTAAGCGAAAACAAAGTCGAGGCCGGCGAGAACAGTGTTGACCAGTCTTTGGAAGGTTTGTGCGGCGTTACACAGGCCGAAACACATTACTGGAAACTCGAAAAGGCCGAACGGTGTTGTCACAGCGGTTTTGTGGATGTCACCAGCGGCGATCGGGACTTGGTTGTAGGCGCGGACCAGATCGAGCTTAGTGAAGACCGTTTTTTTTGCAAGGTTGGCGGTGAAGTCCTGCAGGTAGGGAAGCGGGTACCGGTCTGGAACGGTGACGCTGTTCAGCCGGCGGTAATCGCCGCATGGGCGGAAAGACCCGTCCTTCTTGGGCACCAATAGCAGAGGGCTGGCCCACGCGCTAGATGAAGGTCGGCAAATCCCCTGTTTTTGCATCAGCTCGAAGTCACGGCGCGCGATGTCGAGCCGATCGGGAGGCAGCCGCCGCGGACGCGCGAAAAGGGGCGGTCCTCTGGTTTCGATGACATGTTCTACTCCGTGTCGGAATGATTCAGGTACGGGTGACTCACGGGTCACGCTTGGAAAGTCCTGGAGTAATCTATCCCAATCCGGAGAGCGAGCGACGGTGAGCAAGGCGGTGTGTGCCGACGGTGCGGCTGTCACTGCACAGGTGGCTGCTCGCTTGTCGGCAGGATCGACGAGGCGTTGTTGCCGGACGTCGACGAGGAGGCCAAAATAGCGTAGGAAGTCGGCACCGATGATGGAGCGTGAGACATCAGCCATCTCAAAAGTCCATGTGAAAGGACGCGAAAGTCCGAGGTCGAGCACAAGTGTTTTGGGCCCGAACGTTTTGATGCGTGTTCCGTTGGCGGCTGTGAGGTGTAAGTCGGACGGCTGGTGTGAGCCGTAGCTATACGGTATGACCGAAATTTCAGCGCCCGTGTCAATGAGGAACAGCTTGCCGGAACGTTGATCGTTGATGTGTACCCGCGTGGAATTACTGACGACGTACAGGGCGGGTGGCCTGTGCGCGCTCCTCAGTTTTCCGCGGGCGCGGACGCGGGATTTTCCCGCGACTCCTGTTCGAAACTGCACGGCGATTGACAAGCGCGCGCCCTTTTGCCGAACCTGGTGTGGTAGAAACACATTTTCCCCGGTTGCTGCGCGTCCGAGCGCGCGGGTGCCCGAGATCGAGGTCGCGAGGGTTTTTCCGTGGAGTTGACGATTTGAGTGAGGGACTTGACCTGCTGTGACAACACTGATACTGCGTCGGCCAGTTCGCTAAATTGCCCCTTGGACAAAACATCGACGCTCTGCGGGTTGGACACGTCCAAAATACGATCGGCGCGCGCAGCCAGTTCGTCCAACGATGCGTCGAGGCTGACGAGTATGGCGGTCACGTTCGACGGGAGTTTCTGAAGCCAGAATTCTTTCAATGCGTCTTCGCCTATGCCAGGTGGCATACTGTTACGCATGTCGCGAAGCAGCTGCGACGGTCGGCGGTCACCCAAACCTCCGGGCTTGACGATCTCGCGGAAAAGCAGCGCTCTGGGCACCTCATAGGCGCTGATGAGACGCGTACGGATGTCGGAGTAGGGAGCGGCTGTGTTCAGGAGGTCGCCGATGTTGCGTACTGCCTCTTCGTCTAGAGCGCTGACGACGAAATGTACTTTAGTCGCGTTGGCAGTGACGCGATGTGTTACGAACGTAGATTCCGCGTAGTTGAACCAAAGTGTCGGAGAGCGCTTCCAAAATGCCGGAAGCCGCATGTTTGCAATGGCCTCAACGCCTTGGTTCAGGTTGCCGGCGACGTTCTGGATATTAGGCGCGTTTCCTTCGGCGGCCATGACGGTTAACACGGAACAAGATCACCACTCGTACGACGGGTACGTGCACTACGATGACGCGTGTATTGCGAAAACGTGCGGAAACACTCAGCGCGGAAACGGCGGTTACGAATTCGTGCGTGTACGCAAAGGAAAACTTTGCACTTGAAGAGGTCACCAATGTGGGGTTCGGGTCGTTATCACGATCGAACACCAACGATTAAAAAATAAACGAGAACGCGTTTAACGTGTAAGGTGCGCGATGCGCGGTTTATTACAAAAAGAATAATTAAACTTAACAAAAGGCGAGCAGATCGAGTCGATCGGTACTCGGAGGTGAGCGGCTGGTCACGTGCGTTTTCGTGCGGCGTTTTTGGAAGAAAAACGAACGAGCTACGCGAGCGGCGAAAAAAGAGCGCGTGGTTTATTTTATTACTTTTTTATTAAATCCTGCGGACGTGCGTACGGAGCAACAGCAAAAACGAGAGAGAGACAGGTCGGCCGCCGCAACCAAGCGGAGGCCGCCGCTAGACGCGATCGCAATGTGACCAACCGTTGAACAAAATCAAAGATATACGGTACTACCGACGGCGGAGGGAGGTCATGTGGCATTGGTCCGCCACACAGTCTTCAATGTGATAAAATCAGTACATTTATATTTATCACCACTATGTATCAAATAACATACATCGGTAGTAAATATTGTATTACCTACAAACAAAGTCAGACAATTATAAAACACTTTGGTAAGGATCGGGAATCGACGGATTGTCAGTGTTCGATTTAGGTTACCAATATAAAATAAAAACAAACGCGTAGGTATTAAAAATACAATCGACTGTAACAGTCGAAAAAGGAGAAATATTCGGTAAATAATAAAATAATAAAAACATTGACAACGGTGTTCAAAAAGCGGGTATAAAATAATGTGGTTTTTATCACGGCGTTCGGTATTCGGGCGTAACGTAATCGATCGACGGAGCGCGGTGAGTTGCGACGATGTACTTCCGAAAAAGTGATAACGCTTTCGATAGCCGACAACGGTCGCGTCATGGAGGCAGTTGTAGGTACGCGCAGTATACGTAATTAGAGGAGGGGCTCGTGGCGGCTGGCGCGGTTACAAAAGTGTCATTGTTGTGGGTCGCCACAACACTTATCCAGTACCTACGCGATGCACTAAAAAAGGAGAGGTCAGTAAAGAGTCTACAGTAGTACCTACTTTGTGTAGTAGTAATACATTAAGAAAGTGTAAATTTATGTAAGAAAACGTTAAGTATTCTTTGTTAGATCGATATACCCATGGTAAAAGTTGATAAATTAGTATAGTAAAAAGTAGGGGCCGGAATTATATTCTTTTAAAATAGTCAAAATAACCCAGATAGCAAAAAAATATTATTTACAATTGTTTTTAACATTATATAAGTAATGACTAATACAAAAATAATATTAATTTTTCAATACAGAAATGTAAAAATAATGTTTTTGAAATATTATAGTTACATTATTCGTCCTACAAATTTACATTAAAATAATGACACTACGATAATATTATTTTTATATTTTTAACTCGGTAAAATAATATTTTCATAATATTATTTATCGATATTATTCGTATTATATAAATATAATTTTGCCGATTGGAATATATTATAATAATAATAATACTATATAAAGCTATTTAATATATATATACTTATTGTATAAAACCTATTATAGGAGCCAGTAACGTAGCCAGGATTTTGGAATGGGGGGAGCAACGAAAAAAAATATACAAAATATATATAATAGACATGGTCAATTTTTATTTAAGAAACCTTTTTTTTTGGTCTATTTAATAACCATACAAACAACATAAATCGTACAATTAATAAACATATTATATAATATGCTTAATATAAATTGTTTAATAATGTTTTAATTATATAAATTAACAGCATCTTAGTTATTTTATATATTTAATTAAAATGTTAATCATGTTTTTTATTAATACGCGAAGTTGCACCAGCAATATAAATAGTTAACGGTGATTGTATATCAGCATTGGTAACATTTTCATACTGTTTCAATTTTCTTACAGCTTCTAAAAAATGTTAATTTATCAATTAATTAAAATAATCTATAAAATAATAAACATTCAATAATTTATTTATTTAATATTAATTCTAATGGTATTATATATTCTATTAGATTATTGTTTTTTGTCAAAATAACTTAAAATGTATTAGGTATTTATTTATTTAAATGAAAAAAAAATAGATTTTAAAATGAATTGAATTTTTAACCTATACAAGTTTAAAATTTAAAAAAAAATGTAGCAAGATAAAACTATTGTATTATAGTTAAGCTGCCTCAATATATATTAAATATATATAATATATATATAACTAATGTTATAACAACTGAATGCTCTTAAAATTTGGTCAATATTTTAATCATTTTGTTTTCTTTTTAATGACAACAAATACGATTAAATATAAATGGCCACTTCAATAAATTGAGTTTTGGGTATAAAAAAACATAATATTACACTTTTTGCCATGTTTTTGGTTGTTTTTGGTTATTTATTTAATTCGGAAAACTATGGGAAAAAAATTAACTTGAGTTATTCATTATTCTAATTGAATTCCATTTTCTACCTATGTGTACAATATATATAGGAGTAAATAAATTTAGCACATACAATTATAGGTAGGTATACCGTACATATAATACAGGTATTGAGCAAATTAAAGTTATAGTAATTTGTATTAAATCTTACCAAAAATGACAGAGCACGAGGTGAGGGTAGAAAAGACCTTTTTAGACTTTTGCCCTTTAAAACTATAGTCTTTCAATAAAGAATCATCATAAACAGTTCTTAGTAATTGACGTACAGTTGCAGTTAAATTTCTTTTGGCATTTCGTTTCAATTCTGAAATCTGAAATATGGGTATTGATATTACATGTTATAATTCTTCAAATTATATTGATAAAACATACTAAGTTTGACTTAAAAGTTTTATCGCTAGATAATTTTTCTTCAAATGCAGCAAGGTCATCTTCGTTTGTAATTGGAAGCATTTCAAAAGAAACTTCTTGTTGACTGTTGTAATCATTTTGTGAATTTATTTTTTCATGAAAACTTGAATTTTTGACAACTGTTTCTAGCTGGTCTTGTTTTTGACTTATTGTTTCTACATCATACTTTGTTTTTAGTACTACTCTTAAAGTTTTTTTTACAATCTCTAAAAAAAAAATTAAAAGCAAATATTAATAATGTATTTAAGTATATAATAATACGCAGGTCGGTCCAACAGATGATCTGACCAAGGAAAATTATTTAATATCATTTTACGGTTCCAACAATTTTTGAGATTAGTATTTCAAACTATGTTATATTATAATTTATAATACACTACAGTTTTGAAAATAAAACTTACCTAAAATATCTTCACATTTGAAACTACAATTTTGTGTTTTGTTGTTCAAAGTTGATTTAGGCAACGGTAAATCAAATAGCTCATCTACAATAATTATATCAAAAATTAACACTTTAAACATACAGTTATTAATGGTATAATATATGAAATACAATTTACCAAAACTAATTTTTGGAGAACCAATAGAAGATGACATTCGAGTGATTTTAAAAGGGGAAGCTGATGTGTTGATTGTCCCTAGATCATCTAAATCAAAAATCTTATTAATAAATATTATAAAATATAATATCTAAAACAATTATTTCATATGTAATTCGGATAGTATCAAAAATAAATTTAAATTCTAAAAATGTTTTAATAACTTTGTATTCATTTTCTCTTATTATTTACCTTCATCAGAAAAACTATCAACATCAAAGAGTTTTCTTTTAACTTGATGAGTTGGTGTTTGAACCTTCATTGATTTTGAATTATATATTCTATCTATAAAATACAAATAATATAAAACATTTTAAAAGTATGGTTTTAATAAAAGTATATATTAATTACAAATAGGATATTATTATTTAGTATTATATAAAAAATTTGCAAAATTAGATATTAGTATATTATTGTTAGCATCTATTATTTTTAATAATTTATACACACCTTGACTATAGAATTCTCTATTGCGTGGTTGTTGTATGGCTGCAGAAGTCGTAGGAACACTGCTACTGCTAGATGGTTGATCAACATGTTTACGATTTATGAATTGTGCAGATTTTGTATGAGGAGAACCGTCACCTATTATTTTAATGAATAAAAAATACAAATGATATAACACATTTTAAAAGTATGGTTTTATTAAAAGTATATATTAATTACAAATAGGATATTATTAATTAGTATCATATAAAAAATTTGCAAAATTAGATATTATAGTATATTATTGTTAACATCTATTATTTTTAATAATTTATACACACCTTGACTATAGAGTTCTCTATTGTGTGGTTGTTGTATGGCTGCAGAAGTCGTAGGAACACTGCTACTGCTAAATGGTTGATCAACATGTTTACGATTTATAAATTGTGCAGATTTTGTATGAGGAGAACCGTCACCTATTATTTTAATGAATAAAAAATACAAATAATTTAACACATTTTAAAAGTATGTTTATATTATAAGTGCATTAATTAGTATTATATAAAAAATTTGCAAAATTAGATATTAGTTTATTATTGTTAACATCTATTATTTTTAATAATTTATACACACCTTGACTATAGAATTCTCTATTGTGTGGTTGTTGTATGGCTGCAGAAGTCGTAGGAACACTGCTACTGCTAAATGGTTGATCAATATGTTTACGATTTATGAATTGATCAGATTTAGTATGAGGAGAACCGTTATCTATTATTTTAATCAACAAAAAATACAAACAATAAAACATACCTTATCTTCATACATACCTTCTACTGATAGTTTATTTGTAAATTTTAAAACAATGAATAATTAAAAATTTTAATTTAATTCAATAAATTAAATGATATAATTTTATTTCTTACCAGTCATAATAATATGATGATCAACACTTTTTTTAGGTAACAAATACGATGATGGACTATTTTCAATACCGATTTTTTCTACATCTCTATCATCATTTTGATCATCACCTTAATTAATACAAAATTTAATTAAATTTAATATATAAGTAAGAAATCTAGTAATCCATTTTAATCATAAATACGTAAGAATTAAATCAATTTTA